AAGTTTGAAAAGTTCTGTTGAGCTTTGCACAGAGATTTTGATCTCCAGAGATGCCATGTGCAAGGTTTTTACAGTAGTGAGTCATTTGTTTAAGTAAACGACAAGGGATGGGAACCAACATAGAGAAGCACTGAGGAACACTATTAATTTCTAAAATCTGAAACTATGGGAGAGTAGCAGTTACTTCAGTACAAAAAGCAACAGCAAATCTCCATAGGGGCATTTCACAGCTGAAATCAGTCAGTAAAAGCTCAGTCCTCATATGCTTTTTTTTGTTTTGATTTGTTTACAGGTGTCTCATTAAATTCCCACTTAGAATAGGTATCATCCATGTTGGCTGCATAGCCTTGGCAGGACTTTGAGGCAGAAGGACTGGATAAGGCACACTGACCTTGAATTAAACGCCTGTCTTCTGTAGGCAGCCTGCCCGGTTTTTAAAGATTGAGCTTCCAGGCGTGTTTGCTAATTATAGAGCGAGGAAGCCCTCCCAGGGGCTGGGAGGGCATCGCTCTCTGACCAGCTCTCCGTGGAAGGCGTCCATTTGGGGGGAGGAAAAGTCACACCAAAGAAAACACCTACTTCATTTTATCATGTAAATTCTAAAAATTTCATCAATGATGTGCTGCTGTTCTCACGAATGAAGACGTTGCTGACCAGAACACATATAAGAGCTGTGGTTTGGGGTTTTTTTAATCTGTTCTTGGTGTGTTGTTTTTAGCCTGTTTTCAACATGCTTTTGAAAGCAGCTGTCTGGAAATAAGAATGTAGTCTATTTAAAGACTTCAGATTGGGGATTAAAGTTCAAGAACTAGTTGGACCATCTTTTTCTTTTGTATTATTAGAAAAGGACACTTTCTTTATCATGTCCTTCAAAACACAAAATGTTTTATTTTTATTTTTTTTCTAGTTTATTTTTTATTTTGTTGCTTTGTTTTCGGCATCACAGCTAAGAAACCATTGCCTAATATAAGGTCACAAAGATATACTTTTGTTTCCTTCGAAGAGTTTTATAGTCTTAGATGTTACATGTAGGCTTTGACCCATTTTAGTTAGGAGTTCCACTTCATCCATTTGCATGGACGTCAGTTGTCCCAGTTCCATTTCTTAAAAAGACTATTTCTTTCCTCCGCTGAATCGTGTCGGCACCCTTGTCAGATCAGTTGACCATAAGGGTAAGGGTTTGTTTCTGAAGTGAATTCTCTTCTATCCTATTCATCTGTATGTCTCTCTGTCTGTATGCCAGTCACACAGTCTTGATTGCTATAGCTCTGTACTAAGTTTTGAAATCGGGAAGTGTGACTCTTCCAGTTTTTTCAAGATTGTTTGTTAATTACAGGTCTTTTGAATTTTCTAGCATTGACCTGTCAATTTCTGCAAAGAGGGCATGGGATTTTAATGAAGATTGGAGTGACTCTGCAGGGCAATTTGAGGAATATTGTTGTCCTAACAGTATTAAGTATTCTAATCTGTGAGCATGGAATGTGTTTCCTTTAATTTAGGCCTTTAATTTCTTTCAATAATATTTTACAGTTTTCAGATACGAAGTTATGTGATTGTTTTGTCAAATTTATTCCCTAAATATTTTTGATGCAACTGTAAATGTAATTGTTTTCTTAATTTCATTTTTCTGTTGTTCATTGCTTGTATATAGAAATAGAGTTGATGTTTGTATATTAATCTTGTACCCTGTAACCTGACTGAATTTGTTTATTAGTTTTAATAGTTTTTTAGTGAACTCCTTATGATTTTCTATATGCAGGATCATGTCATCTGCAAAGAGAGATGATTTTACTACTTTCTTCCGGTCTAAGCATCTTTTATTTTATTTATTTCTTTTTCTTTTCTAATTGCACTGGCTAGAATCCTCAGTGTAGTATTTCATAGAAGTGGGGAGAACGGACATCCTTGCTTTCTTCCTGATCTTAAAGTGAAAGCGTCAGATTGTTCACCATCAGTATGCTCTTAGTGTATATTTTTCACAGATGCCCTTCCTCAGGTTGGGAAGTTTCCTTAAATCACCAGATTGTTGAGTGTTAGTATCATGAAAAAGTGCTGGATTTTGTCGAATGCTTTTCTACTTCTAATGAGATGATTTTGAACTTCTATTGATATGGTATATTAATTGATTTTTCAGATATTAAATGCCCCTTTCATTCCTGAGATAAGTCCCACTTGTTCATGGTGTTTAATCCATTTTACATGTTTCTGTGTTCAGTTTGCTAGTATTTTGCTGAGAATTTTTAAGTCTATACATAAGAGATACTGATCTGTCTTTCCCTTAATGGTGTCTTTGTTTTTTGTCAAGTTAATTCTGGCCTCAGAATGAGTTGAGCAGTGTTCCCTTTTCTTCTGTCTTCTGGAACAGTCTGTGAAGAATTGTTACTGATTCTTGTTTAAATATTTGGTAGAATTCACCCAAATCATCTGGTCATAGCCTTTTTTCTCTGTGGGTAGTTTTTAAATTACTAATTCATTCTCTCTTCTCTCATTCTCATTCATTATAAATCTATTCAGATATTTAAATTTCTCCTTGAGTCAGTTTTGGTAGTTTGTGTCTTTGGATGAATTTGTCCATTTCATCCCTGTTATTTAATTTGTTGGTACACAGTTGTTCACAGGGTTACTTACAATTCTTTTTATTTCTGTAAGGTAAATAGGGATGTTTATTCATAGATTACTAACTAGTAAATAGTTACTTTAATCTCTCAAAGAAATTAGCCCTTAAATTTGGGGGTCTTTTTAGGGATAAGAATAAAAAGAAACAGAAAAGCAAAAAAATTATTGAGTCCCTTTTTGTTATTGCTAACAGTGAGTAAGCCACATCAACATTAATTTCTGCCTGGCACAGAATATCAAGACAGGGCCTTGAAAAAAAAAAATGTTAGGAGTGGATAGCCACCTGGGCTATTCAACACTGTCCAAAGAAATCTCTCTGGTTAAGAAATCCTTTTCCTCTCAACTCATGGGCTTCCTGTAACCTTGAGCAAAAACACTTGACCTAATTGTCCAACTTTCCATCTGAGTGGAGATAACACCACCACTTGTAAAACTATCAGGTGTCCATTTTTCATTGCTGTGTCTCAGCAATTCTTTAGAATCCTTATGTAGGTTGGATCTCATTATACTGAACTCCGAAGGGCCGGCCAAATTTTGGGGTGGTACATTTTTCCCTTGTTTTTAAGTTTCTCTCTTTTTACAGACTTCCCAATTTATAAAATGGGTCAGAATACACCCTTTTATTTTTTAGAACATAAAGTCTCGACTGCAGGGAAATTTCAAACTAAAATAATAGAGTGCACACCCGGGCAACATGCAGGAGTTCTATGCACGAAATCCCTAAGCGCGGAAGAGATCGTTTTCATTTGTGAAAGTGTAGGGAACAAAAGACCTGCGCTGAGGGTCCCCACTCTGGCCAAGTACATGCCCATCCTAACCCTGCTTTTTACCCTTTGGCCAAAAGTCACTGTTATGTATAATTTTTCTTTTTCATGAAAACCTTTTTATCTCTTAATGAAACATTTAGGTTCCCGTTATAGACATTTATTATAAAAGCACTTTGGAGAGGCTACTTACTGCTCAACTAAAAGATAAATTGTTAAAATTAAGTGATGTGAGACATTAAATGGAAATAAATATTCAATTTACTAAGAGGTTCCAACGTTGTAGCCAGTGCTTTATTGTAGATGTTGTAGATAAATCATTGCGTGTGTGTGTGTGTGTGTGTGTCTTTTTGGGAAATATTCTGTATTTTGAAAGAGAAGTTCACATGTGAAAAGAGAAAAGGTCACTAAAACAGAGCTGTCAGCATCCAGAACAAAAAAAAACAAAACAAAACGTTTAAAGCCTGCCGAGCTATCGTTGAGGAAATCCGCAGTGTACAGGTAAATTACTGGTTGCAGACACTATAAACAATGGGATTTCTCAAAATGGAAAAGACAGTTGAAGCCCTAGAAGGTGGCTGCCAAGGATACTCCTCCCTGGGAAAAGACCAGAATGTGTGCAGACTAAAGGGTCACCTTGTCTTTTCTCCCCTCTGAACATGGGGAGCAAGGAGCAGGAGAGCATGAAACTGGGAGAGGTGTCTCTTCTGTTGAAAGGAGGCAAGGACTGCCTCGTCCTCTTTAGTCCTTTTTATTTGAAAATGTTCCAACCCACAAAAAGAAGTTGTAAGAAGAGTACAGCCTGTACTCTTTCCCCCCAGTTCACCCGTAGAAACCGTGTCTGTTTTCTCTTACCCCCTCCTACAGCGAAGTCAGGCTGTCGAAATGCAGGAACCAAATAGAATGGGGTGGAGGGGGAGACTTGTGTTCTTATGCTGATCTTTGTAATACGTGTTACAAATTTTTTCTCCTTGTTTATCCTTTTATCTTATGTGGTTTTACACAGTAAAAAGTTGTAAATGTTTGTGTTAAATATCTGCTGTTTTCCTAGAAAATTCTAGATTTTGCTTTATTTGGCTCTTCCCAAGTTTTTCTTAATCTATTTTATTTCTTCTCTGTGATTATTTTTAGACACACTGCAATTTTTAGATATATGTATTTGTATGCCTAATTTTGTCAACACATTTTTAATAATTTATCCCTTATCATTAATTGGAAACCCACCTCTATCACGTACCAGAGTCTTACATACACAAGGACCAGTGTTTGTAACAGCACCATGAACGCAGATGTTAGGTGAATTTTTAAAGTCACTAACAGAACTTTTATATCTACTTTTTCCCAACCTGGCCAGGTGTAGTTATTATGATTTACACGCTAAGCCGTAGATAATGTGCTTGTACGCAAACGGAGACCTTCGTTTTGACCCGGGAGGAATTCTGCCTGAGGTGGGGCTCACGCAGGTGCAGAGACGGGACCGAACGGGCCGTGTCGCGGGAGCATCAGGGATGCGAGGAAAAGGGCCAGGAAAGGGGCTCAGTCGGGGGAGCGGGGGCTTCTCGTCATGTGGGCCTGAGTTATGAATGAACAGGCGTTCCGAACCTTTTCTTTTTCCCTCAGTACTGGATGAACGAGTACACCTCGCCCATCGGAATTGGAGTGTTTCATTCAGGAATTGAAGTATATGGCAGAGGTACGTGTACGCACAATCTAAATACACTTTCTGAAGGCGTTACCCTTTAGAGGAGTTGCAAAATCCTAACTGTAGCTCTTCCTTTTCATTTTTTAACTGCTTCCATAACTTACTGCAGAAAAGTAGATCATCATTTTTCCGTATTTATTTATACCATTTTGGAAAAATGTCTAAAGGTGAATGTATTTGGGGAGAAAGTACCAAAGTATTTGAGTGTATGTTTGTTTAGTTATCTTTTATTCTAATACTATGACTTAAAAAAACATTTTTAAGGTTGTTATACAATTATAGTTTTGCTCTAATATATATTGGAGTTCCTAAGAAACCTTGCACTTTGAGAAATAATATAATTAAAAACAAGCATTTTGATTGGAGAAGGGTTGGTTCTAGAGAGTGTCAAACTTGAAATACCAATTTCCTGAGGGAATTTCAGTCATTTGTTTTTGTAGACCTGCTAGTGTATAGTTCAAAAGTTGAAAAATACCAGTGAGCAAATCCTGCCCTTGACAGCATGCAGCTTGTTGCTGGAGAATGGCGGCCTCTGTCATTCCCTAACTCAGCTCTCCTTGCCTTCATTGCCCTTTATCCCAGTGAAGGGACCGAGCCACAGCAGCTCTGCTCTCTGCGGCTCCTTCCTCTGTTCTAACCCCGCTCTTGGTGAAGACCATTTACCCCTGATCAGGCTGTAAGCAGTAACGGTGTGCGTCAAACAGATCCAATTGCCCGTTTCATCAGGATTATAACAACATATTATTTTGGGTCATAAACCCACCCTGTAACAGAAATGCCTGTAATTGCTTCGTCCAGGCAGGATCTGTGACCTCTTGGAGTACGTGATTGCCGTTTACTCAGTTACCCTGAAAACTGCACGGCTTTAGCGATTGCAAAGAAAAGGCTCGTTTATGTAAATGTATCAGTGTGGCGTTTTGCATGTCCCCTTTTTTTATATTGCACATTCTAGGTGCTCCTAGGTGTAGTGTTCCATGTTAAATGTGGGCTTGTAAAGACCTTCTGTTTAAGCTCTATTTTCCTTGAAAGGCTGCAGCTACCGAGTATTTCCAGAGAAGACGTGGGGCCCCTGCTAAACGTGTCAGTGGCCGGAGCACCGCTGTTGGGGGGGATTCCGGCGTGGGGTTTGCTCCCTTGTTCGACTGGGCTTTTGCCGAAGTTGTGTGTATTCCTTCTCACCTGAATGTGTATGGTGTGTGAGTTTTAGAGGACCATCCAGGTTTAAACCACGTGAACATGCTCCTGGGAGGTAAATGAGAGCATGTGGCATTTTCTCCACTTTTCTGATGAAGAAACCAAAGCTCAAACCTGCTAAAAGTCATACTGCTAATAACTAATAGAACTAGGAGTTGAGCCCGAGCGTTCTTATGTACTAGCCCTTCCTCTTTTACCTGCCTAATCATTGTCGCCTTTCATAAAATGATTTAGGAATAATTAGGAACATGGGTCAAAATATGTCCAGATAAGCTTGGCAAAGCTAGGGCAAAATACAGGGTGGGGAAAAGTAGGTTTACAGTTGTCCGTATGGAAAATAATACAGTAATTCATAGGTAATAGTACAAGAGTAAGCTCTGTGTCTCATGTACTCACAACTGTAGACCTACTTTTGTCCCATCCTGTATATGCCTGGAAGTGAATGATTGCTTCTCAAATAGAAGAATAAATGGCTTTATGACGTTCCTTACTGTAACTGACAAAGTTAAAAATCCAAATACAGTCTTTCCATATCCAAACTGATTATCTACAATGTTTTATAAAATTCTATCATTAAAAATGTTTTAATGTATATTTCAGAATTGGATGTTAAACATCTTTTTGCTATCTACATCACTGCTTTTTTCTGAAAGATCAGAATCAAAAGTAAACTCTGTATGTTACCACTTCTTTACCCATGCTTTGTCCTAAGACCTTCTAATATTTAATAAACTTTAAGTGATTAGATTAATTCAAACATTTGTTTGGAAATATGTAAATAAGCCCACTAAGATTTGCCCCTGACATATCTAAATGTCTCATCAGACCTGCAGGCAGACGGTTTTGCTCTGCCCTGATTAGAAACCGCTCTCCTCTTTTGTGCTGGGGGAGAGCTGGTGCTGGCTGAGCCGGACGTTCACTGGGATGCGGGCGGCCCCCTCCCAGCTGAAGGGCTTGTGCTGGAGAGTGTGTAGGAGTGGGTGTGCGTATTGACTTGGCAGTTTATTTTTTAATTTGTGTTTATTGAATTTAGAGGGAGAGAGAAAGACACACATCAATTTGTTGTTCTACTCATTCATGCATTCATTCTTGTATGTGCCCTGACGGGGGATCAAACCTACATCCTTGGAGTGTAGGAACAACCTCAGCTACCCGGCCAGGACAGTTTATTTTTTCTTGAATTGGGGAATGGAATTCAGTTCTTCAGGTTTGCTAATGTTTCAGAGAAAAACCAGGAGTTCAGCCCAGGAACCATGAAAACTCGTTGTCAGACATATTTTCCAGGAAAGTACAAGTTAGAAATTTGATCACTTGAATTAGAAAATGGCCAAGCGCTGAACTGGCCGCCGACTTCGTTTGGCAGGATAGGCAGGCGGAGAGACTGTGTGTGCATCTGAATGTTTGCCACTCTCCTCTCGCCAATCAAAACAAAGTCGCCATTACCTCTGAGTGTCTTTCACTATTAGAGGGTTCAGGCCTTTTGCATCAACTCTTCTGAACAAGTAATAGCTAAATGAGATGTTTGTGAAAACATTAATAAACTGAAAAATATTTAGATGGTATCGTTATCCTCATCATTTATTAAAGCTAATTCAGCATTCTGGTTAAATTTTGTGTGATAAATACTAAATATCATGAGTTTTCTCTTTTCAGAATTTGCTTATGGTGGCCATCCTTACCCCTTTTCTGGAATATTTGAAATTTCCCCAGGAAATGCTTCTGAACTAGGAGAAACATTTAAATTTAAGTAAGTAGGGAGGATAATTTTTATTATACTGTTTGAGGTGCCATGGCTTGTTTTCAGGCATTCAGAATTCATTCTGTAGGGTAAAATCTAGGAAGGTAAAATGTTTCTTTAACATTGCTTTAGTTGCTGACATTTTATTTTACAACCACATCTATCTCAGTTGTTGTGTAAGACGGGAGTTGGCCAAATAAAGTGCCTGAAATTACCTAGTCTCTTGCTTTTATTCAAGACCCTTGTAAGTCATTCTGTGTAGTTTAAAGGTGTTTTTACCTCGGTATAACTCAAGTTCTGCTCTAGAAAATGTTCATATCTGATTATTGCTACCCCTCAATCTTCTGTTTGGGGCAGCATGGAGGAAAGTTTTAATGTAACCTACCTAGCAGTATTATTAACTCTCTCTTCATTTTCCCAATGAGAGGGACACTGTTTATAAATTTTAATTAATTAAACAGTTGATTAGCCAGGAAACTATTGTTAAGGCACCTGCATTACATGTATTGATTAACCTAAAATGTGTGGATATGAGTGTCTTCTGGAATCTTATCAGTAGTAAACAGCACTGAAAATCTGAATGCTAATAATCAAATTTCCATTCCTTAGTTAAGGTTTGTATTTAAAGTAACATTTAGAACCTTAGGTGCAAGGAGCTTCAGAGAAACTTCCGGTCTTATAATAGTTAACTTGCCAAAAATAGGGAGGTTATAGCCCCGAAATTCAGTGTAGGGCTCCACGTGTTTATCACGACTGCGTCCGTGGCTCCCCCAGCCCAGCAGCTCTCGCCTGGCAGAAGGCACGTTTTTAAAACATGCCCTACCTGACTACTGACCTCTTCCCCTCAGATTGTCAAGTGAAAAAATGACAACAGCCAATACAACAATAGCTATCACAGCTGCAAAAGTATATTTTTCGGTGTGCCGCAGAATTTTACTAGTTAGTTTCTGTGTGCCACGAGATGGAACAGGCTAAAAATCGCTGCCGCGGCCTGTCGAGAGTTGAAGCGTTGACCCGCAGGAACGCCGTGTAAGGCGGCCTGGAACCTGCTCCTTAGCCTCCCTTTAGTCAATGCTGTTAGATAAAAAGAGTTTTCTGAGTATTTTCAGCTCTCTTGGGTGCCTTACTTGATCTAACTAAAGTTCTGCATGTTATTGAATAAGGTCTGTTAACATTTCCAGGGAAGTAGTTGAGTGAGGGAGTTGCTTTTGGGATGGTTTTTATTTTTTTTCCCCGCAAGAGAATTTGGCCAGCCATTAATGGCAAGTATAATTAAACAGGAATATTGGCAGCATGGAGTGGGTTTTCTAATAATGTAACCACTTATGCAATAGTTGCAAATATAACTGTGATGTTGCATTTTTAATGTAAGGATATGTTTTATAAAGAAAATGACTTTTGCCTTTTAATTATTGAGAAGTGGTGTGCTTAAAAGTTTATTCCAGAAAAGTAGAAACTAAAATAATTAAAAGTCTTAAAGTATCTCATTTCCCTTTAGTTTTATTACAGTAACCCTGCTTGGTTACATCATGATACCCCTGGAAATAAGCAAATCTTTAAACACGCATTTCGTAAATACCTAAAGCTCACACAGCTATGTTTTCTCTCTTTCCTTTAAGAGAAGCTGTTGTTTTAGGGAGCACTGACTTCCTAGAAGATGACATAGAAAAAATCGTAGAAGAACTGGGAAAAGAATACAAGGGCAACGCCTATCATTTGATGCACAAAAACTGCAATCACTTTTCTTCAGCTTTATCAGAGGTAAATTAAATTTTATCCTAATGGCCCTTCAAATAAATAATATTTACTAGTATACTCACGGTCACACCGCAGGTAGTTGATTCACTCTTTTCTGGTTCTTCATGTCATATAAAATACGGTGTTACACTTCTTTCTCTTGCATGAATGACCTTTCGAAAGTTAGTGGCATTACAGTCAGCACAGCTTTAAACTGTAATTATATTAATGACTTTGCTGTGGGGAGAGAGTGAACACAAAGGCTTGTCTCCTCTTACTCTAATTCATTTCCTTACAACCTGAAACTTTCAGTTTAAAGAAGTTAATGCCTGACAGACTTCTGCTTTCTAGCCACTCATATTTCTCTTTGCCCAAATTTTAGTTGCCAACTTGAAATTTTTTTCCATGCTCTTGCTTATTAATAAGTAATTCATTTCTCCTGTCTTGAAATTTGATTCTGCCAGTTTATCGCACAGGCACTTACTTGCCTTCCCAATTCTTGGATCCCAAGCAGAAGACCTAAACTAGATCAGAATTACAGGACCTTGAAAAAGAAAATGGAAGGAAGAAAGCAAAGATTATCAAATAAGGGCTAGAGAAGTAAATAGCATCGAAATAGATGCCCGGCCTCCTGACTCTGAGTAGCTGTTGGCAGCGGCAGGGCTGCGGGCAGTGTGAGGGGAGAGGGGGAGCTGCCCGCAGGGATGCTGAGCCCCCTGGCCCTTTGCCGCGCTTCCCCAAGTCTGTTCCGAGGACCGTCCGCAGCTCGTAGGGCTTGGTGAGCTGTGTGCGCGCCGCCTGCGCCCCACTACAGGTGGACTGAGTCAGGCACTCGGCGTAACGCATCCCCGGGTGTGTCCCCTGGACGGGGAAGCGGGAGAGGCACCACCAACCTGTGGGTGCGCCGCTACCAGCGGGGTGGCCTGGGTGACGTTCGGGGGGAAGGAAGGTGGTTCAGAGCTTATACATTTGTAAAGAACACAGAAGCCGGGGGCTTGTCGTTTACGGAACCCTCTTTTTAGCCTAGTCAGGTTCCTGTCCCAGGGGCTGAGGTGAAGCCAGCGTCCCAGGAAGCACATGGGTGTACGGAGGAGAAACCTCGGAATCAGACCAGGATTTAGGAAATAGAGTGCAGGAAATGCTGCCCAGTAGCCAACAGTGTCTGTTACATTAACCTGACGCCCATCGTCACCGCTTCCGTGGTGCCCTCAACTCTGCAGACACCCCTTAGTGTGTCTGGGGTGTACGGTGTGATGTAACACTTGCCTGCCTGTGTTTTACAGAGCAGACAAGCAGGAACGGCAGCCCGTACGGTCAGTGTCATTAAGGTGTACGGCTAAACCTTTCGGGCCTATACCTTTCGGGCGGGAAGCCGGCATTGTTTCATTACAGGTGTCAGCTTATTTACGCAGTAGCTACTTTGGGGACATAAGATACTTTGAAGCCTCTTGCCTAAGTCATCAACTAAGAAGAGAGCTGGTACTTCTCGATCACACGATCATAATCTTTGACATGATTGGAGGCAAAAATGTCACAGGGACCGTGGAACGGACTCAGTTAAGCCAGTGCTGTCTGCAGAAGGAAAGGGGGTAACAAAGGTGAAGTTAGTCTTAATAAGAGACCCAGTTCTTACCGTTTGAAACAGGAGAAGGCGTCAGCCGGGAGGGATCCCTCCTGACCCCCGTTTCTATCTGTGTTGTCCCTAGTAGAGGCTTCAGCAGGGTCACAGGGCCAGCCAGGCCTTATCTGGGGAGATGCTGCTTTCTGGACCAGTGTGAGCTCCTTGGAAAACCTAGGTCAAGGACAGAAGCAGTGGGGTAAAATGAGGTCCAGGAAAAATGGGGCGATAGAGACTGGAGTCTGTGAAAAAGGAGAATTCGCAGGTCGGGAAATGTCCAGGATCGACGGCCCCTGCTGCCCGGTGCCTCTGTCACCCAGTGACACCGTGTATTTACAGGAGCCCCATCTTCGTGTTGTTCAAAGCATGTGTCTCAGGGCAGTTTGCAAGGGTTGAAGGAAGGAAGGAGCCAAGTAGGACTAGCTCAGCTTTATAGATGCGAAAAGTACGCACCTTAACCAGGTTCTTCAGAAAGGAAGGGATGGAGCAGACAGTAGGGACCCCAGGCTCCCGAGTCAGGGGGCTGCTCAAAATCAGAGGCCTGGAGTCTCGTCACCGAAGGCTAGTGTGCAGCGGCCTCCCCCCCGCGCTCCGCCTCGGCGGGGCCGATCGCCTTCACCTCCTGCCTAACCCAGCGCTCTCCCTCCAGATTCTTTGTGGGAAAGAGATTCCTCGCTGGATCAACCGACTCGCCTACTTCAGCTCCTGCATCCCCTTCCTACAGAGCTGCCTCCCGAAGGAGTGGCTCACGCCCGCGGCGCTGCAGTCCAGCGTGAGCCAGGAGCTGCAGGACGAGCTGGAGGAGGCGGAGGACGCTGTCGCCTCGGCCACCATGGCCAGCGCCGCAGCCGGCTCCCGGCCCGGACGCCACACTAAACTGTAACTGTCTCCAAAGTCGCATATTCAGAACTGTCTCTGGCAGTTGAATATCACTAGCGAAAAGTCGAAGAGTCGGCGTCCTTTGGATATTTTGTACGCAAAGACGGCTCTCGCCCCAGATCCCAGTTTCTCAGCTCAGGATTATATTTGTAGTCTAAGCACTCGGCGCAGGAGGGAGAACTTTGTACGAAGCTGCCCTCTGGTTTTTTAACCCACTTGTAAATTCAGATTTACTTTTTCTGTTTTATACAGGCTCTGTTAAGTTATGTTTACAGTATTTTGTATCGCTGTTTACAAATCTTGCATGGACTCCTGCCGCCGTGAAAGAAGAAAACCTTCATGTCTTCAGATATTAGGCAGGTAATCTTTGTACACTTCCGACAATTGCCAGAGTTACGGCATAAATAATAGGCACACAAAAAGTACTTAGGCGGTTATAGTCATCCTCACCTGCTTAAGAGTTGTCTTTTAGTTCGTGTCTGTTTTTGTTACAGTCTTAGTACCAGGATGCAGAGAGGCGAAGGAGCACACACACAGCCCTGAGGGCTGGGGACCCTGTTCTGCTGAGAGGTGGCCCCACGGGGGGCCTCGTTCCTCTTAGCGTCCCACTCCCCGCCACTCGGAGCAGCACTTCCCCGGAGGTCCCCACCCAGCGGTTGCTGTCGTTCCAGACATCCATCCACCCAGGCAGGGCGGCACGTGCTTCTGTCCGTCCGGCCTCGCTGCCTCTGATTCTGTAATTAAGATGTTTTTCGTTAAAGATATTCTTCCTAGTAACTGACGAATGGTTTTGCACATGTATTGGGGGGAGCTTCTTTTTTATTTTAATACATATTGATATCCTCCCTGCACAGGATTTTATTGATGGGGTAGGAATATCCTAAATGGTAGCCTTCTGAGTAGCAGGATGAGTTGACATTCAACTGCTTTTAACTATTCAGGCTACCTTTTATACTAGACCTTGAAAACTAGTCTAAAGAAACACACTCCAGAAAGGAAATTTTTTGATCTTTTAAACATTTTACATACCACATCAGAAAGAGCATGTTGAGTTTGTTAGTCTATTATGGGAGTTGTTTCACCTCATAATAGAAAAGCTAGTCTCATTGACCTCTTGTGTAAAATTCATGTTTTCATATCTTAAAAGTCATCTTTTTCTGTTCTCTCAAATGTACGTCTCTTACATAACTCTAAGGATGGAATTGTCCACAGATAAGTCCTCGTCAGCAAGGAATCCGTCTGCTCAAGCCTACCCCTAGTTTGACCCTTGGATGTGAGAGTCAAGTCATTACATGTCAAATTCACTTTTTCTGCCTTAAGAATGAATGTCCTATGTAAAATACTGGATGCAGTGTATAAATCATCCAAGGCAGTGACTTCAGCTTTATATATATTATTAGTTTTAAATCATCGACTTTTATTTAAACTTCTAGGTTGGGTGGTTAGTGTTATTTCTCTTTGTAAAGATACATAACTTGGAGTAAACTACATTTTTAACTTTTCCATAAGCTGAGTTTGATTCATTTTATCAACTTAAGCACACCTTGTTCATCGGGAAAATAAACCTTGAGCTATAAGCATCAACCTGAGGAAAATGAAGCCACTTAACCTAATTTGGGCTTTGACTGTTCTGTTTGTGGAGAGAAAAGCCTTTACAAAACATCCTCAGCCCTTTAGGGGGGCAGCGCACTGGTTTTGAGGGATGTGACAGGAAGAGGAAAGGATTTATGACCTTTATGGAAAGTTGACTTGGTTCGGGTCTAACATGAGATTAGAATAAAACACAGAGTGTAGCAGTGGGTCTGTTTGCTCAGAGTAGAGTCCTATCATCAGAACCCGGGTTAGTGAAAGGTATCTGATGTTGTTTGCTTGGGATTTTGTTTTTAAGTAATGTGGGCGATGACAGTTTTTTCTGATACGTTCCCATACACACGGTGTAAGTCTGGGCTGCTGACCGAGGAGGAGCAGCCATCCATTAGACGCTCGGTGGTGAACAGCCACGACATCCCAGTTGTGTTTATCCAGAACCCAGCACCTCAGCACACAAAGGACCTTCCGTTATTTCGTTGTGTTTACTTTAATCTGCAGCATTTGGAGTTTACAAATAGTGTAAAGGGTCCTGGTAGAAATAAACTGTGGCCCAAGGCCAGTTACCATAATAACAATCAGCAGATAAAATTCTGGACTTCAGATGGATTACAATTTAATTGTACTCGAGGTTGAGAAATAAATATGTTTATGTAATCTTATTTATCTTATGTAAGTCACTTACTTCTTCACAGTTCAAAATTGAGAATGAATTTAATCCCCTAGCACTTCAGCAGCTTTCCTTGCCCTTGGAGGGAAAGAGTCTTGCTCTCGACCTGATCTCTGTTCAGAAAAACCCGGTCACTGAGGCTCCCCGGATGCGATGGAGTCGGGTGTTCTCTCTGTCGTTGTGACCAAGCCAAGCGTGCTTCCCGTGGTGGGCTGGGCAGTAGTAATACAGTGGCAGAGGGTTAGAAGCTACTGGTTTCTACCGTTTTAAATGCTCTGGGGGTTTTTTTTCCCAACCCCAAGAAGGGGGCCTGGGCCTCGGGCAGGGCAGGCCTGTGGAGTCGAGAAGGCGGCGATGCCTGCAGCCCCGCCCGCGGTCGCCCTGGCCCACAGCAACGGCCCGGCGCCCTCACCAGCACTTGCACAAAGCAGGGAGCACCGGGCTCAGCCAGTGGCTGCGCCCCCTGCGCGACTGTCCGCGGCTTCGTTCTGTCCCCGAACGGGTAGAAACGCATTTGCTGCTTCCGGGTTCTAATCTGTGTGTTGTCTTCTGGCTCTACGTCTGTAAGATACTCTGTAACTCTGATACGTGCTCCATTTTCTTTCATTAAGTTTAAAAGACTTGGGTTTTGCTCGGCAAGCCAGCCACACTGCCACGTCCCTTCCCCTCAGTGTGGCCTTCAAGCGCAGCTCCACTGTCAGGCGTCCGTGGCCCACTTGGTCGGTGCGCGCATCTTTGCTGTTGGAAAGGCGTCCCAGCTGTTAGTCCCCATGAACCTGAAGATGATTTCTTGTGAAGTTGAATGCAAATGTACTGTCATTCATAGTGTTTATAAAAAAAAATACCAGGAATCTTCACTTTTGCTACCTTGATATAGCACCAGGCTATCATGTTAACAACATTGAAATACATCAATTTATTAAAAATACTTTTATAAGAAATGCTTTAGAGTGCTTTCTGATCTCCAGAAAATGGCAACGGTTAAGCATTTGGGTTGGGGGTGGGAGGCTCTCTTCCAAACCCAGCGCTCCCCTCTGCTCTGCAGATGTGGCCAGCCCCGCCCCCTCACGTTTATGCCTCTTGTAGTCACACGCACGTTTTCTCATGTGTGTTCCTCTTGAGCTCAAGTCCCTGGGCCAACTCCTGGGCTGCCAAGGAGGGCACAACCACGCCCCTCACAGGCGGAGGTGCGGCGGGGAAGGGAGAAAATGCCTCCTCCCCATCAGCAGTGTTGGGGAGGCCTGCAGAGGAACAGGCCCCCCCACACATTCCTCCCTCCGAAGCTTCCATTTCCAAGAGTCTGGGTGACTGGGCCCCTCCTTTCCTACAAACCTGCTTGGCTTTTGCTTAGAACCTCCAACCTGACCCTCCCCCTCTCGCCTTCATTGGCTCTTCTGCTCATTCAGAGGCCTCTCCTGAATGAAGTATTGTTAAACAAACAGCGGCAGTCTTTTGTGGTTTGTCTACTCTCCTTTGTAGGAATGATCTCACCTCAAGGACAAGAACCAAAGGGGGACTTTCCCCCCATTCTAAACAGGTTCCTAATATTGATTATAAAAAGTTGGTCACAAATTCACATCTGGTCTGGTCTTGTGTGCAGAAAGGATGTCAAACATGCAGAGAGACAATAGTGTCGTGTCCCCCCCCCCCCTTTATTATCTGCTCCTGAGGTTCATCTTGTTATCCAGATACTGGCCCTTGCAGTTTGCAGAAGTCTGTGCTAATAGAGGTTCATGGCTTCATGCATTACTTTTCAAGAGGTCGATTAGTGGCCTTACTTCCTTATAGCCACTAATTTACCTCTGAACCCAGAGAACTGCCAAACCTCTTTGGTGAGGAAAAGGGAGAGGCTGAAGCCCCACCCAGGGGCCTCCAGAGGTCCCCTCGCTGCTTTTCCTCCAGATTCCTCTAGTTTTTCAAACTCCCCGCATCCCGCAAGTCTTGGTTCTTTCTAATGTTGCTTCACACAAAAGAGGAAAGTAGAGTTCACTCACACTGATGGGTAAGGAGCTCAGCATCCCACTTATATATGTATCTTTTATTTATTTTTTTTTAATGCCTTGGTTGCACACATTGAGATTGACAACCACCGTGGCCCCCACAGTCTTTCCTGGGGGTGGTTCTGGAAGAGTCCGGTCCCGAGGGAAGCGCACGCACAGAGTCAGTTTACTTCGGTGTAAATACGCTGGGGTGCAAATGCATATACCCCCAAATCCATGTCCTTAAGTTCATATGACGGTGCTGGGTTTACTTTCACTTCTTGGGGGATCAAAACCAAACCCGGGCTCCGGGAACGGCGCGGGGAGCCGCTCGCGGCCTAGGCGGCGCCCTGCGCGCGCTCCAGCAGCAGCAGCGGGATCTCCTCCAGCGGCGCGGGCCGCCGCCTCCATGCGGCCAGCCCCTTGAGCAGCCTCCGCAGGCTCGGGACGCCCCACGGGCCGCGCTCCGGGGCCGCCGTGCCGGGCCGCGCGGGCTGCGCCTTCGGCCGGCGCGGGGCCGGGGCCGCGCCCCGCAGGAACAGCCGCCGCCAGCACCAGCAGCCCGAGCAGGAGCCGCCGTTGATGCCCGTCGCGTGCAGCGCTGCCACCTGGGGCTCCCGGCGCTTGGGGCCTCCCCGCGTCAGGCGTGTCACCGTCCCCGGCAGCTCGAGCTGGCCGCCACCGCCGCACAGGGGGCCGCAAGGCCGCGCGCCCGCCATCGGTGGCCCAGGCCTTGGCGAGCACGTGGGGCGGGGGCCGCAGCCCAAGTCCAAGTCCCGGGAACCGACGGGCAAGACTACTCGGCGGAGGCCTCCCTCCAGGACACGGAATCGCTGCGTTTCAGTCCTGGAGTCCCTCCCTGCCACCTCCCCGGGAATGCGCCTCGCGGCCTAACCGCAGGTTTGGGTTGCCAAGGGAAGGCTGTGACCTCACAATGTGGCACAGAGCGCATCCTCCCCTCCCGGCAGGGGGCTTGGAGCGCAGCCGCCCACCCTAGCAACGGAGGTGACTCCAGGATCCAGAGTCCCAAGTAACTCCCCAGGTCACAGACAAATCAGCCACGTGCCTGCTGCGTCGTTTCCGGACAGGACCTCCAGCAGGTGATGAGGGAGTGGCTCAGTTCACTCTTACACTGAGTGCCCCCTGGACCTACCCCACGCAGGATCAGGGCTTGCGTTTTGGTGCCAGGCTGTGGGCCCCGGAGACCAGTTTTGTGGACTGGTTTCCAGTGTGTGTACTTCCCTGCCAGAGGGAAACCAGAGTTTCAGGAAAGGTCTCCAAGAGTCTCTGCATCTGGCCTCACCCAAAGGCCTCCTCCTTGGAGGATTATGACTGACTCTTTTTTTTTTTCTCTAATAACTTTTTTCCTGATCCCAAGCAAGATTTTTGTGGAAATTTTTTCTTTTAAAATACAAAAAAACCAAAGAAACAAACAAACAAAAAAAAACAGTCATCTTTTGTCCAGCTTCCTTATATACTTTTATAAAGTACGTCTCCTTCTTTATATACTTTTTTGTACTTGTCGGTTTTCTCAAACTGAGGTAAGGACAAGGTAAAAATCACAGTATCTACCATGTGTCATGCTTCTTTATGCACTAAGCACTCTACCTAACATTTTGTGTAGTGTTTTTGCAGCCCGCTGACCAGCGGGCAGGCGCTCTGGCTTGAGTCTGCCTGTGTTTGAATTGCGGCTCCAACGTTCCTTGGCTTTAACTGTGGGCAAGTTACTTAACCTCTCAGTGCCTCAGTCTGTTCATCTGTGAAACTGAAATAGTAGCAATCCTACCTCTGGGGGTGGTTTGGAGAATTACATGAGATAACACATATAATACACTTAGCACACACAGGGCACATGGTAAGTATACAGGGAGTAAATTATTAGTACACAATCATCACAACAACTCAAAAGAAGTGAAGAAAAATTCCATTTTGCAGATTGAGAAAACTAACGCTTGAAAAGGTAAAACCATTGACCTGAGATGGTGTAGCTTATAAATTAAGGAGACGTGATTTGAACCCCAAAATCTTTGAACCCCAGGATACTGATGACTGTGCTGCTGTTGAGCTTCCAACCATTTGCCCTACCAGTACGGCGTCCCGTCTTCTGGACCAGCCTCCAAAATGCCCAGGGTCAATAGTTGGGGGTCAGCATTTAATATTTATGTAGCTTCTGGGTGGGGGGAAAAAAAACAGGAGGAAAAGAAAAGCGAGACATCCAGTCCTTGTTCCTAGCAACTTTTAAAATGTCTAATTATCTGGGGTACGAGCCTTTCCGTCTTCATCACCCCTGAGCCCACCCTAAGTGTCCTTTGTTTGCCCCCCACCTTGGCCTGACTGCACGGAGCTGAGACCCCCCGAGCCACTCCCCTTTAAGAACAGCTTTATGTTGCATTTGTTCCGCCCCCTCCTCCCCACAGGCGCCCCCTCCTTGGACTCAGGCTGCCTTTGCTTCCTGCCTCCTGTGCCAAAGAGTCAAGTGCAAGGTAAATCCTGACTGGCAGATTCGGCTGGGAGAGGAGCAACAAGCCCCAAATGGGACATTATTCACAGGGACAGTGCCAGGGAGAGCAGCCAAAGATGCCAGCTCCCCGCAGCCTGTGCGCAGAGACAAAGGGGGCCAGGTGACTGCCACCGAAGGCGGGGACACCCTGTTGCTGAGGAGCTCCTGCGGCTAGGTGACAGCCTGCCGCGGTGCCCTCCGTGGGGGGAGGACAAGGCAGAAAGCCTCCTGCATCAGCAGAACCCAGCAGGTGACGAGAAACCATGCCACCGCAGGCTGCTGGGGCGACGGGGGGCCGGTGGAGATGGTCTTGAACTGCTCACAAGCCTCCTGGGCCCTCATGTTCTGGGAGGATTCCAGGGTGTTCTGCCAAGATTTAGATTCAGCCGCCACGCGAGCTGGCCCAGGTGGCCTGTGTGGACGTGTTCGAGGCCCCCAGGGCGCCGTGGCAGAGCCGCTCCACTGCACAGACCAGTTCACGTGCTTCCTGAATCGCGTTCCGGCTGTTCTGAGCTGAACTGTGTCCCACCCCCCCACCCCCCAAAATTCACAGTTTGAAGATCTAACCCCTAGAACCACACAGAATGGGCCTATATTTGAAGAAAGGGTCCAAAAAGGTAAGTTAAAATGAGGTCACAAGAGTGAGCCCTAATCCACTGTGGCCGGTGCCCTAATAAGAGGTTAGGGCCTGGCCACGGAAGGGAGACCATGTAAAGACCCAGGTGGACAGCCGCCAAAGAGCAAGGCCTCAGAAAACACCAAACCTGCCGCCACCCTTGACCGTGGACTATCAGCCTCCAGAACTGTGAGACGATGCATGTGCAGTGTTTGAGCGCCCAGCCTGGCGTTTTATTTTGGCAGCCCCAGCAAACCAATCCCGGGGCTGACGGCTTTGCCCCTCACCTTATTCTGCCCCAAAGCCCGCTCTGATTCCCAGGTCACTCCCTTCGCAGGACATGTGGAGGCACTTCCTTGGCCTCCCCGCGTGCAGGCTCCTCTGTGCTAAGGTCGCCTGAGTGCAGCTCCCACAAGGCCTGTGCATCTGCAACCGCTCTCCAGCCCCCAGTGGCCCCGACGAGCCACCAGCGAGGGCCTCGGCAACCCCAGGCCTGGCTGAGAGGTGAGAGTTTTCAGACACCTGCCACCAAACGGCTCTTCAGCCCTAGAGGACCCTGGGCCTCGAGTCGCCAGATAGAATACAGGCACCTAGTTAAATGTGAATTTCAGATAAACAACAAATAATGTTTTTCGTGGTAATAATTTCCAAACGCTGCATCGGTACATTAAAAAGTTATTTGAAAGTAGAAGTTATGTCAGCATCCTCTATTTTAACTTGCTGCCCCACCAGGGTCATGGGGTGCATCCAGGGGTCACTCCATTAGGAGCTTTAGGGAGCTTCCCCCAGGCCTCTGGGGAGGC